GGATCGTGGCTGTATAAAAACTCCACCGAAGGTCCCAGTGGCAGGGTTCCCATGGCGGCCTCGGGCCATTTCGGCACACCCCTCACAAGGATCGTGGCCCCATAGGAACTCCACCGAAGGCGCCAGTGGCAAAGTTCGCACGGTGACTTCGGGCCATTTCGGCACACTACTCACGAGGATCGTGGCCCCATAGGAGCTCCGCAGAAGGCGCCAGTGGCAAAGTTCGCATGGCGGCCTCGGGCCATTTCGGCACACCCGTCACGAGGATCGTGGCCCCATAGGAGCTCCACAGAAGGCGCCAGTGGCAAGGTTTTGCATGCCGTCCTCGGGCCATTTCGGCACGCCCTTCACGAGGATCGTGGCCCCATATGAGCAGTTCGCATGGCGGCCTCGGGCCATTTCGGCACACCCAAAGGGAGCTCCACAGAAGGCGCCAGTGGCAAGGTTTTGCATGCCAGCCTCGGGCCATTTCGGCACGCCCCTCACGAGGATCGTGGCCCCATAGGAGCTCCACCGAAGGCGCCAGTGGCAAGGTTCGCACGGCGGCCTCGGGCCATTTCGGCACACCCCTCACGAGGATCGTGGCCCCATAGGAGCTCCACCGAAGGCGCCAGTGGCAAAGTTCGCACGGCGCCCTCGGGCCATTTCGGCACACCCCTCACGAGGATCGTGGCCCCATAGGAGCTCCGCAGAAGGCGCCAGTGGCAAAGTTCGCATGGCGGCCTCGGGCCATTTCGGCACACCCCTCACGAGGATCGTGGCCCCATAGGAGCTCCACAGAAGGCGCCAGTAGCAAAGTTCGCATGGCGGCTTCGGGCCATTTCGGCACGCCGTTCACGAGGATCGTGGCCCCATATGAGCAGTTCGCATGACGGCCTCGGGCCATTCCGGCACACCCCTCACGAGGATCGTGGCCCCATAGGGAGCTCCACCGAAGGCGCCAGTAGCAAAGTTCGCATGGTCGCATGGCGCCCTCGGGCAATTCGCCACACCCCCCACGAGGATCGTGGAGGGGGAGGAGGAGGGGGAGGAGGAGGAAGAGGAGGAGGGGGAGGAGGAGGAGGAGGAGGAGGAGGAGGAGGAGGAGGGAGGAGGAGGAGGAGGAGGAGGAGGAGGAGGAGGAGGAGGAGGAGAGGTGGACTGGCCTCCGCCGTGCGGGGCCTTCGGGCCCGGGCCGGCCGCGCCAGGGAGCACGGCTTGCACCTCGCCTGCGCCTCCTCGGACGGCACCGTGTCGGTGCTCAGCCACCAGGACGCCCGGGGGCTCCGCTGCTGCTCCGGGCCGCCGCGGCCGCCGTCGAGGAGCTGACCGAGGGCCGAGCCTCGTTTCGATCGGGGAGGAGGAGGAGGAGGAGGAGGAGGAGGAGGAGGAGGAGGAGGAGGAGGAGGAGGAGGAGGAGGAGGAGGAGGAGGAGGAGGAGGAGGGAGGAGGAGGAGGAGGAGGAGGAGGAGGAGGAGGAGGAGGAGGAGGAGGAGGAGGAGGAGGAGGAGGAGGAGGAGGAGGAGGAGGAGGAGGAGGAGGAGGAGGAGGAGGAGGAGGAGGAGGAGGAGGTGGAGGGAGGAGGAGGAGGAGGAGGAGGAGGAGGAGGAGGAGGAGGATAGGATAGGATAGGATAGGATAGGATAGGATAGGATAGGATAGGATAGGATAGGACCGATCGCGAAGCGAAGTAACGACACCTAGCCACACTACGACACGAGCAACGACGGCGGCGGCGGGGGCGGGGGCGGCGGTCCTTGAAGTTGAGGTACGGGCGCGCGGGCGCGCGGGTCGCGCCGCCGGGGGACTTCCGAGCCTTCTGAGAAGGCCTTCTCCCTCTCACTTCCCCCCCTCGCTCGCCGCCGACAGAGCGCATCCCAGGGCATGTCTGGGAGTAGACTGTGAGGCCTCACGAGAGCCTGGACCTCTGGCGGCGTTTTTTTTTCTCAGTGCCGACGCCACTCCCAGATGTCGGCCTTCGGAGGCGCGTTTTCTGCACCCCGTGGGCCTGCAAGAAACGATCTCCGGGATGAAGTCGGCGTCACCCCCAATCTACTGATACTATGTGTGCCTCGCCACCCTCAGTCCCTCAGGGGCGGCGCGCGCGCCGAGGTAGCACGTGCGCCGTGGCGGATGCTTTCTGGCCGTACCGCTCGGGGAACGATCTACTACAAGATGTTTGTAATACGTGTTCGGTTCGTACGCACGCCTCCAGGGAGGGCATGCAGTGCTCGTACAGTGGAAGCCCATGCCACGAAGCATCCTGCTTGCCTCCAGGGTGTCCTGGGTTTCTTAGGTTCTGATGGCTTTGCCATGGAGAGCGTGCCGTTCCCGCACCAACAATCAGTAGACGTTCTGGGGTCTCGGGGCTGGGTTTCCTGCGGAAGACTTCTTGTGGTCGAGCTCCTACTGCACGTCCTTCTGCGTCCCATGAGGTCGGCATCACCCCAATATATTGATACTATACGTGCGTCGCCCCCCCAGGGGCGACGCGAGCACCGAGAGATCTTGCAGTATATGCGTCGTGGCGGGCGCTTCTTGGCCGCACCATTTGGGAAACGATATACTACAAGATGGCTATACTATTATGTTCGGGTCGGACGCGCGCCTCCAAGGAGGACGTATAGTATTGGTATGTCCCTGTGCGTCCCACTCTGCGTCCCATGAGGGGTTGGGACCTCTGGGAGCCCTGCACGGAAGAGGTCCCGACGTCGGAGGGCTGGGACGTGGCGGGGCCGCACCTCTCCCGTACCACTGGGCATGCCGAAGAGGCGATTGGCCGGCCAACGGATGCCCGATTTTTTTTACCTCCCGAATGGACCCGCAGAGCCCAGGGCCACCTTGTTAAGCTCAGAGCCAACAACGCTCAAAGTCAACTATATACATATATATATATATATATATATATATATATTATATATGAAACCTATATCTATATATATATATATATATATATATATATATATGTAGGTGTTCTATTTGTCCCTCGCTCGTCGTCCTCGTCGTTGTTTCTCCTGCTGCTCCTTCTGTGGGAAGCTCTGGCACGGTCGGGTCCCCTTCTCATCAGCTGGGACGCTGACAGTTTTCAGTTATGACGTCTTCCCCTTCGCGTCCTGTCGTTCCCGTCCCATCGTTTCGCCGTCGCCATCGCGCCGTACTACCATCATCACCGTTATCATTGCCGCCGTATCATCTTTACCATGTCCTCACCATCAGCATCTGAATCATTATAATAGCCATTAACATCATCGTCCCCACCATCATCACCATTATCGCCGTCGTCATCGTCGCCGCCATCATTGCCATTATCATAACCATCACGTGTGTCCCGACATGGTCATTACACCTGCCAGGGTGATCACTACACCGGATGGTCAAAACACATGAAATAAGAGCGATCTTGCAGATTTCATATTCAAGAGGGAGTTTGCCCCCTCTAGGGCTACAGTCTTCAAACATTATTCGGGTGACTTGTCCAATCCATGTGCAACAAGTGAGCAGAAGAACTGGCCAATTTCTGCTAGATTATGACGTGACGAGGAAAGCGATTTGTAGTGACAGCTAGATTGAAAGATCGCGCGTTGAACGATTCACGGTAGAGATTCCAGTGCGGTAGTTCTTGATGATACGGCATCACATTGGAAGACAACGGTGGCTAAGGGCAGGCATGAGGCGGAAGTGGGAACATCTGGAAAATGGGGAGAAGAGGGGCAGGAGCGCGGAAGAAGTAGGAGGATGACAAGGAGGCGAGGGTGAAACGGAAAGGGAGGGAGTGAGGCTCTGAGAGAGGTGAACCCTATTGAAGAGGATGGTGGAAGCCCCAGGAGTAATTGGGGGGGTGAGAGGGGGGGGGACGCGGGAGCCCGGAGGGGAAGGGGAAAGAAGAAGATCATGGAACGAGGCGTTGGCACGGGAGGAAGGGCGAGGAAGGAGAGAGGAAGGAGAGAGGGAGGGGAGGAGGAGGAACGGCAGCCCGACGACGACGAGGAGCGCCGACGAGGGACCTGAGAGGCGAACTTGTGTGCTGGTAGGAGGACGGGATTCCATGCGATGATGAGGGAGTTTTCGCCACGCCACCCGGGCGACTCCAGCCGTCGACGCGTCCGCTCGCGTTATGGTAGACCGTCCTCGTCCGCCTCGCTTCTCCTCCTCCTCTCCGCTAATCCTCAGCACATTCGAACTCACATCTGGTAGGGGCCGCACTCCGCTGGACCTGCCAGCAGTTCCTGAAAGTAGCGACAGTTTCGCAGTTCGCAGCCGCCGGGGGAGTGCAACATCAAATCTGGGTCTGCGTATGACACCATCCCGCTGGACCTCCCAGCAACTTCCGAACGTGGCGATATTCTCGCAGCTCGCAGCCGCCAGGGGACTGCGAGATTTAATCAGGATCTGCATATGACACCACGCCGATGCCCCTCCCATTAGCTCAAGAAACGGGAAACGGGTTGAGTCTGCGTGTGACACCACTCCGCTGCCTAGCAGCTCAGAAAAGTGGCGACTGTTTCGCAGTTCGCAGCCGCAAGGGGTCGGCGTGGTCTAAACTGGGTCTGCGTATGGCACCACTCCGCTGGACCTCCCGGCAACTCACGCAAGTGGCGACAATTTCGCAGTTCGCAGCCGCCAAGGGACCGCGAGGCCTAAACTGGGTCTAGGTATGACGTATACCACAGTGCTCTAGTCACAGCGAGAGCCCAACGCATGAGGGTTGGGAACAAGTCATGTGTTCCAAATATGACTTGCTTCGGGAAAGGTCACGCGGGCATCCCCGAGAGCGCCGGGAAGCGCTCAGGAGCGCCCCGAGATCCTGGGTTCGGCGCCCGAAGCCTCCTCTCAGGGGCCACGGACGTCTTCACCATGCTATCCAACATCAGCTCTGCAAATCAGTTTGTGCTTTTCCATTTCGGCGCAGGAGATTCTGGAACAATAACTCGTGCCTTGTGAGCGGAGGGTGGGGCGTTGTGAAGCTCTGTCAACCCAGTGACGTAGAAATGCTGCCCTTCCGTGGTCGTCGTCTCGCGAAGATGGCGACCTTGCTCGCGCTTGCCACCGCCCCCACCCTGGTAGAAGCAAGCCCGACGGCTGGATCTGCGTCTTTGATCTCGGAGTTCGCTGTCCCAAATGCTCCATCTGGCCTTTTTTATTATCCCGACCAAGATCTGCTCTATGTCCTATGCGGCACCAGCACGAACGGCGACCACTATTTGTACGCTTACACCACGGATGGCACGCTGAAGTGCACCATCACGATCCCAGAAGCAGTCGGAATGAGCCGTGTGGACGGATTCTTCATTGCTGATTCGAAGGCGTACATCGCGGATTCACAAGGACCGATCTACGCAGGCACAAGCGGCAGGCTGGGCGGGTCCATGTACGAGATGGATTGGGAGGACCCTTGTCAGTGCGACGAAAATGACAACAGCGTCGATGACTTTTCCCCGTCCTGCGATCTCTCCACGGCCAGCTGGTCTCCGAGCTCCATCACCGCGCAGGCAGACATCGTGGCGAGTACGGTCTCGTCCAGCGAGGGCGGCGGCAACGACGCGTACTTCCGCAACTCTGGCGTGCTGGTCAAGGACGGCAGCTTCTTCGCAGTGAACGGCGTTCACCCCGTCACGCAGGGCGATTACACCTCGTACTACCAGAAATCCTTGATCAAGGCTTCCCTCTCAGGCATTATTGACAATGTCCCCGCCGTTGAAGAGTACTGGCCGTTCACAGCATCCACACTGGGACACGACGTGGATATGGAGGCTTTGACGTGCGGAGACGACGACTGCGCGACGTACATTTACATCGGGGATGAGTACAACTACATCTACAGGCTCACACTTGGGACCACGGATCCCGCCTCCGCGGTCGAGTATGAGTGGGACGTGGCTGACCTGGTCGGTGGCTCTTCCATCGCGACGGACAAGGGGATCGAGAGTCTCACATACTCGAGCAAGACGGGATACTTCTACGCAGGTATCCAAGATACGAAAATGGTACACGTGCTTCAACTCGACGTCTCTGATGACGACGACGACTCTGACATCGACGAAACGACGACGTCGGTCGACGGTGCCTCTGATGTTGCCTCTGTCGCTTCGTGCGTGTCGCTGATGAGCTTAACCACCGACATTATGTTTGCGGCCGTTGTTGTTTGGCATGCTGTATAGAGGGGATTCGGGCACTTCTGTCGAGGACGCCCAATTGTTCTTGAGCTTGTTCGCCACACGGGCTGGAGCCACATGGTTGGATCTCGTGGTGCTATTTCCTACTGTGCGGCCGTAAGTTTCTTTGCCTTGATGATCAGCGGCCATCCCGTGGCACTGTCCCCCCTGCTGGGGCCACGGCTTCATTGGCCTTGCACGGAAGCAACGTCAACACTGCGAATGATGACCGTTGGGTTGGCGTTGTCTCCTGCAAAAATACCTGATGGCTGCGCATAGCAAAAGAGATGATGAAAAGGAACGGGGCAGCAGGAGAAGAAGGATTGGGAAGGAGGCGGAGATTAGCGGTGTGAGGGTGTGAGGCGCTCCAGGATCTTTGATCGAACCGGCCTTCACAGCTGGCTCTGAGCGCCCATCAAGAAAATCGTAAAACAGCCAGCGTGGAGCCTCGGGCCCCACTTTGCAGGCTGGTCCAGGCCTCGCAGTCCCGATAGGCCGGCCAATCTTGGGGCCCCATCATTGCCACGGCCGACCAAACATTCACGTGGCCCCGACTCGGATGGGGCCCAGTTTGGTAGGTATTGGGGGCGTCCTAGAGGGGGGTCAGGACGAGGGTCGGCGGCGAGCGAGGGGGGGAAGTGAGAATGAGAAGGCTTAGAAAGCTTCTTGGAAGGCCAGGATACTTCCGAACCTTCTGAGAAGGCCTTCTCCTTCTCGCTTCCCCCCTCGCTCGCCACCGACAGGGGAGTGGATATCGTGGCCAGGGCCATGACCTCTGCCACACATCATGGCTCCTCTTCTTCAAGTTACGCGTTCCCTGGCCCCCCCCTGCGTCTGTGCATATGCCTCGGGCCATGCTGTCCTGACCCCCTCCCTTGCGCCCAGAAGGAGGAGGAGGAGGAGGAGGAGGAGGAGGAGGAGGAGGAGGAGGAGGAGGAGGAGGAGGAGGAGGCCTCCCTCTCTATGGCGCACTCGAAGGTGGCGCACGCCAGAGCTACTCACCCCAGGGCGTTCCAGGACGCACCAGTGCGCCTTTCTGGCCGGGGGCCAGGGGCCTTGTAATTATAGCCCGGACGCGAGATCGGGGCTCTGCCTGAATCGAGGGGCCACATGCCTCTCGACACGGATCCTCGATCCTCCCACCCTCCCCTCCTCCCTTTCCCTTCAGCATTTCGTAATCTAGGCCTCCTAGATGAGGTTGGAGTAGATGTGGTCGGAGGATCGCGCTGCATCGCCGATGCATCGCCGATGCGGCTCGATGCGGAGCCCGATTTGCTTCACGCGGACGTCGCCGATGCACCGCCGACGTCGACGATGCATCGCTGGTGCATCACCGATGCATCGCCGATGCATCGCCGATGTATCGGCGATGCGGCGAGATCCTCCGACCCCACCTCCTCGGACCCCATCTTGTAGGCCCCTGCAGAAGCATCACACCTGCGCCACGCGCAGCACCCAGTATCGACGTCCGTAGACTCCAACCACGGTCCTCCGGCCCGCCCGCGCTGGCCTGCCGGGCGCCGTCTCTGGGTCAACACCGGCGCGCTCCGTTCCGCTCCGCTCCGCTTCGCTTCGGGCGACGAGGTTTATGCATATACGCAGGGCGACGAGACGTTCACATGTACACTTAAGTCGGGCCTGTCCCTCTACAGGAGGAATATCATTTTTTTTGGGGGGGGGGCTAAAACTCGCCTGTAGGTGGGCATGCCCGACCTAAATGTACACTGCTCCCTGTCCGCGCCCCTCCTGAACCTGGCAGCGGTGCAGACGCCACGCCCTCCCGGCTTGGCCAGGAGGGCGCACACACGGCTGCTCGGTTTTCAGCATGGGCCTGGTCCGGGAGCAGTAGATTATTTGTAGATCTCGTCGCCCCATCGCTGCGCTCTCGCTTCTCCTCCTCGTTCCCTCTCGCTCCTCGCTCCGGGTGGATATTCGTAGATCTCGTCGCCCGATCGCTGCGCTCTCGCTTCTCCTCCTCGCTCCCTCTCGCTCCCCGCTCCGGGCGGGTGGCGCGGCAGGCGGCGTCCCAGCAGTGGCGAAGAGCGGCCTTCAGCGCCCACCCCGGCGGCGCCCAGGCGCGGGCGCTCGCCCCACCGGAGCGGGAGGAGGAGCGAGGTCTTCGGGAGGCGCTGGCAGTCTCTGGGCCTCGGGGGCCCCGGGGGACCTTCGGAGAGATGCCTCTGGGGACCCAGGCATTCATCAGGAGGGAGAAAAACACACAGACACAATGAATCGTCGATTCCCAGGAAAATATGTGAAAATATGGGCAGTGGGGGGGAAGACAAAAACCCAGAAAATATTGGAAAATATTGGGAATATTTTTATTTGTGTGTATTTATTTGTGTGTCCTGGGGACCCAGGCATTCGTCGCCGCGGAAGGCGGGTAGGTCAAGTGTTTCCGCAGGTTGCGGCTCCAGTGGCCCGTATCGGCAACAGCGGTGCGGGGCCCGAAGCTGGTTCTGCGGAAGGGGTCGAGAGTCGAGCGTTCCAGGGGCCCACTTCATGAGACAGTTGTGACCTCGGAGGTTCCTGTCGAGCGGGACATGTCGCGGTATCTGCCGCCTCGGAGCGGTGCCTCGTGACTTCGGGGAGTGGTGGATGGGCATATCTACCAGCTCCTCAGTGCACGAACCTATCCTTGTCCACCTCATTTGGGGCAAGGCTCCAGAAGCTGTAGGCAGTGATGGCGGTGCACCCACTACGTTTTCCCGTCCCGGGGAGGGGTAAAAAGAGAGGAGGGAGAGGGGAGGCGGGAGGTGGGAGGCGGGAGAGTGGATTTAGTGTGGGGGCAGGAGGATGAGGAGGAGGAGGAGGAGGAGGAGGAGGAGGAGGAGCGGGAGCGGGAGGAGGATGAGCAGGAGAAGGGGCAGCATGGAGATGACGATAACGACGGCGATGCTGGATGACGATTACATGGGTGATGATGGATGACGGGTGATGGCGAAGAATTGTGATGATGGGCGGTGGTGGCAGTGGTTGCGATGCTGGCCGATGGCTGACGGCGACGATGATGCCGATGCCGATGCCGATTCTGATGATTACGATGATGATGCTGCTGCTGCCGCTGCTGCTGCTGTCGTTGTCGTTGTCGTCGTCGTCGTTGTTATTGTTGTTGTTGTTGTTGTTGTTGCTGTTGTTGTTGTTGTTGTTGTTGTTGTTGTTGTTGTTGTTGTTGTTGTTGTTGTTGTTGTTGTCGTCGTCGTCGTCGTCGTCGTCGTCGTCGTCGTCGTCGTCGTTGTTGTTGTTGTTGTTGTTGTTGTTGTTGTTGTTGTTGTTGTTGTTGTTGTTGTTGTTGTTGCTGCTGCTGTTGTTGTTGTTGCTGTTGTTATTGTCGTCGTCGTCGTCGTTGTCGTTGTTGTTGTTGTTGTTGTTGTTGTTGTTGTGGTTCTTGTGGTTGTTGTAAGAGTTGTCGTTGTGACTGCTTTTGCTGTTGTTGCTGCTGCTGCTGTCGCTGTTGTCATTGTCGTGTTTGTTGTTGTTGTTGCTGCTATTGTTGTTGCCGTTGTTGTTGTTATTGTTGTTGTCGTTGTTGTTGTCGTCGTTGTTGTTATTGTTGTTGATGTTGTTGTTGTTGCTGTTGTTGTTGTTGTTGTTGTTGTTGTTGCTGTTGTTGTGGTTGCGGTTGTTGTGGTTGCGGTTGTTGTTGCTGCTGCTGTTGCTGCTGCTGCTCCCGCTGTTGTTCTTGTCGTGTTTGTTATTGTTGTGGTTGTTGTTGTTGCTGCTGCTGTCGTCGTGATTGTTGTTGTTGTTGCTGTTGTTGAGAGCGACTGGTTTCAGACGCCCCCCCGGGCGATGGGAGGGAGGGGGGGGGCGCTGCACCTACGAGATTCCTAAAGGATCCCTGGCATTCCTGGATTCCTGGGGATCCGTCTGGATTCCTGGAGAATCCTGGGCAATCCAAGGGACTCCTACGGATGTGTGCGGAGTGTTTTGAATTTCCAGGGATTTTTGAGGATCCCTCAGGATTTCTTTCTCGGAGTCCAGGGGATTTCTGAAGGAGTCCTCGGGGAACCTGTGTATTTTTGTTTGGGATTCCACCAGATTTTTGATATTTCCCAGCGAATTCGGATTCCTATTGATTTCTTTGGACTCCAGAGGAGTCTTTCGGATTCTTCGTGGTTTCAGAGGATCCCGACGGAGCCCGAAGGGTCCCTCATGACTCAGAGGGATTCCAACGGATCCGTGGGGACTCCCAAATCCTCTAATCACTCGTTCGTTCGGAACGTCCTCGCGATTTGCCCAGGAATTGCGCTCTTGCTTTCAACTTCTTTACCATTTACACGCTGTCGCCTAGACTTGTCGCCCAAGTCTCCCCTTTACTCAGGAGTCGAGCTTTCGCTCGAAAGTTCTTCCCAGCGTACTCAAGAATTCAGCTGTCTTTCGCTCTCTCCCTCTCTCTCTCATAATGATTCTTCGCTTGAGACGGTTGTGATGCTGATGCCCTTGGTGGTTTTGAACCGTGTTGTTGTTGATGATGCTGAGGGTGAAGATGGTGGTGAGCATGCTACTGAGGATGAATATCATGACGATGCTGGTCACCATTCCCCTGGCTAAAATTCGATTGGCCAAGATGATGGAGTACAAAGGTTTCTTAGCAGGGAGTCCCCACCATGGGTTTAGTATATATCGAGCTTGCGTGGGGACGACATGGCCCGGGAAGTCTCGGCGCTCGCAGGCGCCTCGGCCTCTTCGCTGGGATCTGGCAGTCGAGCCAGCTCCCACCAGAGGCCGGCCCCGGAGCCCGTGCGATGCGAGGCGGTGCTCCCCCCGCCTTCCCCAGAGGGGGCGTCAGTTAAACCCGGCGTCTTTCCCGCGGGGAGCGACGGGGAAGCTCGCCCCATTGGAAGGGGCTCAGAAAGCCGGTGCTCCCCTGCTGTTGTTGTTGCTGTTGTTGTTGTTGTTGTTGCTGTTGTTGTTGTTGTTGCTGTTGTTGTTGCTGCTGTTGTTGTTGTTGTTGTTGTTGTTGTTGCTGTTGTTATTATTGTTGTTGCTGTTGTTGTTGTTGGTGATGGTGATGCGACTGATGATAATGACGACGATGCTAATCACGATGCTGCTGCTGACGATACTGATGATCACGACGATGATGTTGATGCTGATGCTGGTGTTGTTGATGATGGTGAGGATGACGACGATCAGGATGACGATGTTGATGCTGCTGCTGATGATGGTGATGATGAGGATGATAATGATTATGATGATGTTGCTGCTGCTGATGATCATTTTGATTATGATGATGATGAGCATGACGATGATGAGGATGCTGATGCTGATGATGATGATGATGATGATGATGATGATGATGATGATGATGATGATGATGATGATGATTCTGATGATGAGGACCGTGATGATGCGGAGAAGGAGGGAGGAGGAGGAGGAGGAGGAAGAGGAGGAGGAGGAGGAGCAGGATCCGCTCCGCCACCCCATTCAGTCCAACTTGGGGGGAGCTATAGTCCTCGTTTATGGCTCTGTCGTATATGGCCCTGCCGGACTGTAAAGGTTTGGTTGACGTCTGAAGCTTTGGCTCTGACCAGGGTGTTTCGGCTTTGGCCTTCCCTGAGGCCTGGTCGAAGGTTGCCAAAGCTCTCGGCATCGGCTGGGAATCCGTCACCTGGTGCAGGCTTCAGTCTCATTAGTCTTGGATTCAGGCTCTGGCCCAAGGATTCTGTTTCTGCGCGTGGCACGGCAGCAGGACGGCCGACCACCCTGCGAGAGCCGGCGCCTCTGATGCAGGAGCAGCCGGGGTCCCTCCGCGGCTGGTGCCCGACGGCCAGGAAGGGCACCAGGCTTCTCGGGAAGTATTTGGGCCTCCTGCTGGATGAAATGTCTCGGGGAGAGCTCAAGGATGTGGAGCTTTGCAAGGCCAGGCCCAAGTCCGCCCGCCCGCCTACACGCCGGTCGTTGAAAGTAGGTATTTTGGGATTCCCAGATACCAATCTATTTCAAGCGCCTTCCTACTTCAAGAATCGACATGCCTTTACTGTATTTTGTTATTCTCTGGGAGGACCTGGACCCAATCTACTATATCCGCCTTCCTACTTCATGTTTCTACCTACTTCTTCCGACCGACGTGTAGTGATGCTCCCCAGCTCGAATTAGTTGCAGACCCCAATGGAAACGATCCTCGAGGAAGGCAGATCTTATCTTACCTTCGTGGGCGTTGTGGGGCGAGCGGGTCAAGTCCGAGTGGGCCCTCGTCGTCTTTCCTTGCCCAGGACCCCCCAGATATAGCAGCTTCGGCCCACCCTTCTCACGTGCTCTGGATGGGCTCGGGACCGTCTGGTAGGGTGGCGTGGTGTCAGAACTGTGCGGCGTTTGGGGTGGCACTTTCTCGGTCCTTGGAAGTCGTTCGCTATGTTGTTGGTGGACAGAGGTCCAGTTCGAGGAGCGTGTTCGGCCGCAGTATTCCAGTCACGATCAGGATCTAGTATCGTTTTATGTTTTTCGTTAGGTTTCTTGCACGTCGATGCGGGGGACAGTGGCTGCTTTCAACTGGTTCGAATGATGATGATGATGATGATGATGATGATGATGATGATGATGATGATGATGATGATGATGATGATGATGATGATGATAATGATGATGATGATGGTGCTGCTGCTGATGATAATGATGACGATGATGATGACGATGATGATGATGACGATGATGATGATGATGATGATGATGTTGCTGCTACTGATGATGCTGCTGATGATGACGATGATGATGACGATGATGCTGATGCTGATGATGCTGTTGATGATGGTATTGTTGTCATTACTGATGCTGATGGTGATTGTCGTGGTGGTGATTCTGATGCTGCTGCTGATGATGACGATGACGATGATGCTGCTGATGATGATGATCATTCTCATGCTGATGATGCTGCTGGTGACGATGATGATGCTTATGATGATGACGACGATGCTGCCGAATATGATGCTGCTGATGCTGCTGATGCTGCTGATGCTGCTGATGCTGCTGCTGATGATGATGCTGCTGCTAATGATGATGATGATCGTGATGATGATGATGCTGCTACTGATGATGATGATGATGATGATGATGATGATGATGATGATGATGATGATGCTGATGATGATGATGACGATGATGATGATGGTGATGATGCTGAGGATGATGATGATGATGATGATGATGATGATGATGATGATGATGATGATGATGATGATGATGATGATGATGATGAGGATGATGATGATGATAACGCTGAGCAGGAGGAGCAGGAGGAGGAGGAGGAGGAGGAGGAGCAGGAAGATGTGTCCGAGGCAGTGGCCTCCTCTTGCCCTGCTGTTGCTGCCGCTCCCCGTGCCGTTGTCGTGGCCGCTCTTGCTCTCCCCGCCGCCTCTCGCCCTCGTCGGCCCTCCTCCATGACCTCCCCCTCCGCAGTGCCCTCTTCCGCTCCTCCGCTCTTCTACCCCTTCCGACCATTCCGCCCGCTCCCTGCTCCCCGCCCTCTGCTCCGTCGTGCTCCTGCCGGGGCCGCCGCTCCCGTTGCATTGGGCACAGCAGAGAGCCACAGCCACAACTGGGTGGACTCTTCGGGAGGGCCCCTCGGGGGAGGACCCACCAATCTCGGCATGAGCACGGGAGGGGGTGGAGCAGGAGGAGGGACATCGAGAGGTGGAGGAGGAGGAGGAGGAGGAGGATGGGGCGGGGGAGAGTTTGGGGGAAGACTGGACTCGTCTGGTGCAGCGGGTTGGCCCCCCCGAGCGGTGCCTCCCCGCGCCGCGCCGCCCCGTCCCGCCTCTCCAGCAGTGACGGCGGAGGCGGACGAGGGCCTCGGCCGTTCTGGTTGTGGTCGATCTGAGCCTGTTGCGGTGTTCCGAGGGTTCTCGGTGTGCGCAAGACATCCCCCAGGGTGTGTCCTCGATGTGGTTGTGGTCGCTTGCTGTCCCCGCGCCTTGGGCGAATTGGCGGCCGGTCACCCCCCCAGACGCTGAGCTGGATGGTGCCCAAGGCGACCGGGGACAACGCGCCCGCTCCGCCAATGCGACTGGCCACGGGCGGCTGCGACCACCAGGCGCGCAGAGTGAGCTTGAGGACGGCGGCCACTATGATTGCAGTGACGAGGGAGGAGGAGGAGGAGGAGGAAGAGGAGGAGGAGAAGGAGGAGGAGGACTAGTGTAAACCCAAGAATCATCAACGACGTTTGGAATGAACCCACCCTCCAAGGTCCCTCCTCATAGGCGCCTACGGCGGTTCATTCCCATTGAAGGAACTGCCTCGCTGGAAGACAACCGTTTGAAGACCACGAAGCATGCCAAAACATTACTCTCGGGATTCCAACGCCACGGATCAAGCTGACTATTGCGTGTTGACGATCCCGAATCGTGGTAGAACGCCATTCCTGGGACTTCAACAGACCGATTCAGCGTGACTGTTGCGCCCGCGTAATCCTGCATCCTTTCAAAACGCCATTTCTGGTACGTTGATGATGGGAATCCGTGAAACCCTTCCAAATTTTGCAAACGAAAGTGCGCGGCGCTAAGGCGCGAGCCACATTTTCAGAAGGAACCGCCCTCGATCCGTGAAGCTCTTGTTGCAAATTTTAAAAACGAATGCACGCCGCGCTAAGGGGAGAGCCACATTTTGAAAACGATCCGCCCTCAATCCGCGAAACTCGCAATTTTTCAAACTCGAATGCTCGCCGCCCTCAGACCAGAGCCACATTTTGAAAACGACCCGCCCTCGATCCGTGAAACTCTCGCAAATCTTTACAACGAATGTGTGCCGCGCTAAGGCGAGAGCCACATTTTGAAAACGACCCGCCCTCAAATCCGTGAAACGCTTGCAAATTTTGGAAAAGAATGTTCGCGGTGCTAAGGCGAGAGCCACATTTTGAAAACGACCCGCCCTCCATCTGTGAAGTCGTTGCCAATGTTTTAGCTTCAAAGTAATCAGTGGTGAGGAATTCTCAGGCGAAGTGCCCGGCCTGCCGTAGAAACTTGCCGCAGGGTGCGACAAGGATAAGTTGTTTATAAGGAGAAGGAGTGGAGGAGGAGGAGCAGGAGGAGGAGGATGAGGAGGAGGAGGAGGACGAGGAGGAGGAGGAGGAGGAAAGGAGGGGGAGTGGAGGATGAGGAGGAGGAGGAGGAGGAGGAAGGGGAGGCGGAGAAGGAGGAGGAAGAGAAGGAGGAGGGTTGTGGCGGAGGATGGTGGTGCCGGTGGTCGTGATGGTGTTCAGGACAAAAGAGGATGAACATGAAGATGAGCACGACTTTGAAGCTGATGATCAGGATGCTGATGATCATGATGGTGATGACGCCGATGACGATGACGATGGCGCTGCTGCTGCTGTCAATGATGATGCTGACGACCATGGTGATGATGATGCTGATGATGATGGTGGTGGTGGTGGTGCTGATGATGCTGCTGCTGCTGATGATACTGATGCTGATGATCATGATGCTGATGATGGTGGCGGTGGTGGTGATGATGGCGATGCTGCTTTTGATGATGCTGATGAGGATGACGACGATGATGCTGATGATGATGCTGATGGTGATGATGATAATGGGGTGTGGTTGTGATGATGATAATTCTGATTCTGATGATGCTGCTGCTCATGATGATGACAATGATTCTGATGATGCTGCTGATCATGCTGCTGCTGCTGATGATGATGAGGGTGACGTTGATGCTGGTGGTGGTTGTGATGATAATAATGATGCTGATGATGACGATTATGCTGATGATGTTGTTGTTGTCGTTGATTATGATGACGAGACGGCGGATGCTGATACCTATGATGAAGCTGATTACGATGATGAATGATAATGGTGATGATGTTGATGATGATGATGCTGCTGATGATGCTGCTGATGATGACGATGATGATGCTGATTCTGATGATGCTGATGATGCTGCTGCTGCTGATGATGATGATGATGATGATGATGATGATGATGATGATGATGCTGGTGATCTGATGAGTAAGAGGGTGAGCATGATGAGGAGAATGCTGATTCGGAGGTGGATGCGGAGGCGGAGGTGGGGAGAAGGCGGCGGAGGAGGAGACGGAGACGGAGACGCAAACGGAGGCGTAGGCGTGGGCGGAGGCGGATGATGATGATGTTGATGATGTTGATGATGATGATGATGATGATGATGATGATGATGATGATGATGACGATGATGATAATTATGATGATGATGATGGTGATGATGGTCATGATGCTTTTGATTATGATACTGATAATGATAAGGATGATGATGATGATGGTGATGCTGATGATGCTGCTGATGGCGATGAGGATGCTGATGCTTATGATGATGATGCTGCGGATGCTGCTGGTGCTGCTGATGATGATGATGATGCTGATCATGAAGATGATGCTGATGATGCTTATTATGATGCTTCTGATGATGGTTATTATGATGACGATGGCGATGATAATGATGATGAGGATGCTGTAAACGATGATGCTGATGATGCTGATGCTGATGATGGTGATGGTGATGGTGATGCTGATGCTGGTGATGACGATGGTGATATCGATGATGGAAATGGTGATGCTGATGATGATGCTGATGATGATGGTGGTGGCGATAATGATGATAGCACCGATGATGATGGTGATGCTGACGATGATGTTGATTATGATGATGATGATGCTGATGATGAACATGACGATGCGGATGATGCTGATGATGATGATGATGGTGACGGTGAGGGTGATCGTGATGATGATGGTGATGGTGATGATGATTCTGATTATGATGATGGTGGTGATGATACAATTCTGATGCTGCTGATGACCATGATGATGATGATGATGATGATGGTGACGGTGACGACGATGATGACGATGTTGATGACGATGTTGATGATGATTGTCGCTGATGATGATGATGGTGGTTATGATGCTGATGCTGATGATAATGATGCTGCTGATGATGATGACGACGGTGATGATGATGGTGATGAAGACGATGATGATGATGTTAATGTTGATGATGATGCTGCTGATGATGATGATGATGGTGATGATGACGACGACGATTATTATGGTGATGGTGATTGCGATGGTGATCATTATGAGTTGGTGGTGGTGATGATGATGATGATGTTGATGTTGATGATGATGACGATGATGATGATGGCGATGATGAAGATGCTGCTGCTGATGATGATGCTGCTGATATGACGATGATGATAAAGCTGATTATGATGATGCAGATGAGGATGAAGATGATAAGGATGATGGTGATGATGATGATGATGATGCTGATGATGATGATGATGATGGTGACGATGATGATGACGTTGATGATGTTGATGATGACGATGATGATGATGATGACGATGATGATGATTATGATGATTGTGGTGATGATGATGCTGATGAGGATGGTGATGATGATGATGATGAGGAGGAGGAGGAGGATGATGAGGATGATGATGATGATGATGATGATGATGATGATGATGATGATGATGGTGATGATAACGACGACGATTATTATGGTTATGGTGATTGCGATGGTGATCATTATGAGTTGGAGGAAGAGGAGGAGGAGAAGGAGGAGGTGGAGGAGGGTGATGGTAATCGTGATGGTTATGGTGATGGTGACGATGATGAAGACGGCAACGACGAGAAAGATGACGGCGACGACGACGATGATGACGGCGGCGACACCGACGAGGAGGAGGAGGAGGAGGAGGATGAGTTGGAGGAGGAAGCTGTCGCAGTTGTTGACTTCGCCTCCCCAAGGCAGAAATATTGTTGATCCCATGGTGTGTTTTGTCAATTGAAGCGCCCCTCCCGGGGCGCGCACCTGGTTCGTTTGCATTGGAAAGTTTTGCGCTCCAGAATGGGTTGCTGGTCCCGAACTGAGACAACAACGGCTGCCGCCTGATACGTCCGTGCAGTTTGTTTGACACTGCCCTCTCGCGCGGGACTCCCTCACATTTTATGCAGGAATCGCGCTCTCGCGTGGGACGTCCTCGCATTTTGTTCGTGCACCGCCACCGCCCCCCGTTCCCCTCCCCCATCCGCTCTCCTCCTCTCCCTGTCCCCTGCTGGCCTGCCCCTGCCGCTGCGCGTTTTTCGCGCGCGCCCCCTCTCTCCTCCCTCCTGCTGCTGCTGCTGCTTCACCCCAAGGTCCTGAGCAAGGCCGAACTGATTAGTCGGCAGCCTCGGTCCTCTCTTTATCGGGGGACGAAATCTATACATATCCACTGCTCCCTGGCCAGGCCCATCCTGAACCCAGGAGCTGTGTATACGCCCTCCTGGCCAGGCCAGGAGGGCGTGGCGTATACACAGCTGCTGTGTTCAGGATGGGCCTGGCCAGGGAGCAGTGGATATGTATAGATTGCGTCGCCCTATCTTTAATGTGGTCGTTGATTGAACTGGCATCGCCATGGGATCCACTCCACTCCACTCCACTCCCCCTCCGCCGCATGCGCGCCTGCCCCGCCGGGACGGTCGCTGAAGGCGACCGTGTGGCCCGTTTGTGGTCTCGCACAGGGGCCCCGCCGTGAGCTGCCCCTGCCCGGGCCTCGTTGGGCCCCTAGAGCGGGTGGAGCTTCCTGCCCCCTTCCCCCTTTCTGCGGGGAGGGAGGCAGGGGGAGAGGGAGGGAGGGAGGGAGGGAGGGAGGGAGGATGATGAGGAGGAGGAGGAGGAGGGTTCAGGAGGAGGAGAAGGGAGGAGGAGGGAGGAGGAGGAGGAGGAGGAGGAGGAAGAGGAGGGGAGGAGGTTGAGGAGGGAGGAGGTAGGAATGAGGAGGGAGGAGGAAGAGGGGAGAAGGGAGTGGGCAGTAGAGAGGAGGGAGGAGGAGGAGGGAGGAGGGAGGAGGGAGGGAGAGAGGAGGGAGGGAGGGAGGGAGGAGGGAGGAGGAGCAGGAGGAGGAGGGAGGAGGGGAGGAGGAGGAGAAGGAGGAGGAGGAGAAGGCGGAGGAGGAGGAGGAGGGAAGAGGAGGGGGAGGAGGAGGAGGAGGAGGAGGAGGAGGAGGAGGAGGAGGGGGAGGAGGATGGGAAGGGGATGAGGGAGGGCAGAGGGTGAAGGGTGTGTGGGGGTTGCGGTGGGTGAGGCCAGGCTCTCCCTCCACCTCCTTGCTCCGTGCTCCTCTCTCCATCCTCCGTGTTCCTTTCTCGTGCTCTCCATCCCCTGCCCCCTCGTCCAGGAATCCTCCTCCCCCGATTGCGTGCACTGGCGCCGCTTCGCTTCTGTAACGCCCTGACAGGCGGCCGTCTGGAAGTGCGAGGGCGACTCCTGGATGCAGGCCCTCCCCTGAGGGTATGGCTGGTGGTGAGGATGACGTGTGGTGACGCTGCGGTTGATAATGCTGATGCAGTTGCTGCTGCTGATGATGCTGATGATGCTGTTGATGACGATGATGCTGATGCTGACGATGATGCTGATGCGTATGCTACTGCCGATGGTCATGTTGATGGCGATGACGGTGATGATGGCGATGACACCTCGTGAGGGTACTGCTGCTGATGCTGTTGACGTTGCTGACGTTGCTGCTGCTGATGATGATGGCAATGACGATGACGATGATGATGCTGATCATGATGATGATGAGGATGATGATGCTGATGATGCCGACGACGATGATGATGCTGATGTTGATTCTGATGATGGCAGCGATGACGATGATGCTGCTGATGATGATGACGGTGATGGTGTTGATGACGATGATGATGCGGATGATGCTGGCGATGGTGATGTCAATGACGATGATTGCCGTAGTGTTAATAATGACACTGCGATGCTGATGTTGATGCGACTGCTGCTGATGATGTTGCGGCTGATGCTGCCGATACTGATTATGACGATGACGATGTTGCTGCTGATGATGATGGTGATGATGATGATGATGACGGTGGTGGTGGTGATGGTGGTTATGCTGATGATGATGCTGACGGCGATGATGATCGTGATGTTGATCATGACGATCACGAAACTGTTGTTGCGTTGTGGTCGTTGTTGTCGTTGCTCTCGTTGTCGTCGTTGATGCTGTTGTTGCCTTTGTCGTCGCTGGCGTTGCTGTTGTTGGTCGTGGTGGTTGTTGTTGCTGTTGTCGGTGGTGTTGTTCTTGTTGCTGTTGTTTGGGTTTACTGTCGTTATTGTTGATGCTGCTGCTGTTGATATTTTATTGCTGTTGTTGTTACGCCGACGACGCCGACGACGATGCATATGACGTCACTGATAAGGCTGGTGGTGATAATGAGGATGATGAAGAGGACGGCGATGATGCTGCTGCTGATGATGACGATGATGACGAGGATGACGACGATGACGATGATGATGGTGATGCTGCTGATGATGATGCTGATGCTGATTATAATGATGTTGGTGATGATGATGATGCAGACGATGATGATGCTGTTGTTACTGATGCTGCTGCTGATGATGATGATGATGATGATGATTGGGATGCTGATGCTGGTGTTGATGATTAAGCTGATGACGTTGCTGACGTTGTTGTTGTTGTTGTTGCTGTAGTTGTTGTTCTTGTTGGTGGTGGTTGTTGTGGTGGTGTTGGCGATTGTGGCGATGCTGCTGCTGACAATGATGATGATGATGATGATAATGATGATGATGATGATGATGATGATGATGATGATCATGATGAAGATGATGTTGCTCATGCTGATGCTGACGATGACGCTGCTGCTGATGATGCTGCTGATGATGATGGCGATGATGATGATGAGGGTGATGCTGGTTCTGCTGATGATGGTGCTGCTGCTGCTGCTGACGATGATGATGATGATGATGATGATGATGATGATGATGATGGTGACGATGATGATGCGATGATGATGATGATGATGATGATGATGATGATGATGATGATGATGATGATGATGATGATGATGATGATGATGATGATGGTGATGGTGATGGTGATGATGGTGATGGTGATGGTGATGGTGATGGTGATGGTGATGGTGATGCTGGTGATGATGAGGATGAGGAGAGGAGGAGGAGGAGGAGGAGGAGGGGGGGAGGAGGAGGAGGCAGAGGAGAAGGAGGAGGAGGAATGATACTATCAGGAGTAGGAGGAGGAGGAGGAGGAGAAGGAGGAGGAGGAGGAGGAGGAGGAGGAGGAGGAACGTCAGATCAGATGCCTATCGGCGCCAGCTCCAGCATTGCGATACATGAGATCGGCCCATCTTCGGGCCTTGTTGGGCAATTTTTGGCGATTTGGGAGACGTCTTGGCGGCTTTCGGGGTCACCTTGAGGGCCATCCTGTTCAATCTCGGGGGCTCTGGGGGCCGTCTTGACATGATTATGACGATGACGATACTGCTGCTGATGATGATGATGACGATGATGCTGATGACGACGGTGGTGGTGGTGGTGGTGATGATCATGATGATTCTGATGCTCATGCTGATGCTGATGCTGATGATGCTGATGATGCTAATTGTGATGCTGCTGATGATGTTACTGACGGAAAGATGAAGAGGAGGAGGAAGAGGAGGAGGAGGAACAGGAGGAGGCGGAGGAGGAGGAGGCTGAGCAGGAGGAGGAGGAGGAGGAGGAGGAGGAGGAGGGAGGAGGAGGAGGAGGAGGAGGAGGAGGAGGAGGGGGAGGACGAGTAGCAGGAGGAGGAGGAGGAGGAAGAGGAGGAAGAGGATGGAGAGGAGGAACGTCCGATCAGATGCCTATCGGCGCCAGCTCCAGCATTGCGATACATGAGATCGGCCCATGTTCGGGCCTTCTTGAGCCATTCTGGGTGATTTGGGAGACGTCTTGGCGGCTTTCGGGGTCTCCTTAAGGCCATCTTGGGCAATCTCGGGGGCTCAGGGGGCCGTCTTGACATGATGTTGGAACACCCCGAGAGGAAAACGAAACGTTAAAACCACCATGGGTTTTCCATACTTTTCGCCCTTGGGGGGCGTCCTGGGGCCCTCCTGGGTCATCTCAGAGGCATTGTCAGGCCATCTTTGGCAGACTCGGACTCTTGAGGCCCTCTTCGGGGCCTCTTGTTGCCGTCAGGTGTCGACCTAAACGGTGTTTTTGCGATTTCGTGGGCCGTCTTCGTTTCGATTTCGTTTTGCAGCAAATGCGGATCGAAGACAAAACGAGGGAAAACGAAAGCAAAGCGAATACGACATACGCCTGGGGGCCGTCTTCGAGGTCTCCTGGGCCCTCCTGGCTGTGCGGTGGCGTCCCCGTGGGAATCTTTTGTGGGGCAGCCTAGATCGGCTAGAAGGCCTAGCCTCCTCCCCCCTCAGGTGCTTGTTTTTGAGGTCGCCGGCCCCCCTGGTAGAGACAGGGTTGGAGGCGGAGGAAGGAGGAGGGAGGAGGGAAGAGGGAGGAGGGACGATGGATGATGCAAGAGGAGGCGGAGGAGGAGGAGGAGGAGGAGGAGGAGGAGGAGGAGGAGGAGGAGGAGGAGGAGGAGGAGGACGAGGACGAGGACGAGGAGGAGGCTGAGGAGGAGGAGTGCTTGTTTATTTTGAGGTCTGGCCGCACGGTGCGGGCCTCCACCGAAGCACTCTCCAAATTTCCCGATTAGCGTGTCGCACTAGGGTTCTTTCCCAGGGGTGTCCCGGCGGTTGCATTTGTGCTGCCGGCGCGGTGCTGCCGCGGTGCTGGCGCGCTGCCGTTATTCGGCTCTAGTCGTGTGGGATACTTTTTGGGCGGCCAAACTCTTTGTGAAACTAATGTGTTTTCAATGCGTGCATGTGGACCTATCAAAGACAATGCAACAGGGCTTTTTCAATGAACCGTCTTCCGCAATCGATCCGTCCTCCCGAAACTCTTGTCAAACCATCGGGTTGAATTCGGGCGGCTATCCGAAGCACGGATGTCTCGAGTGGGAGCCTCGTCGGCGAGTCAATCGCAAGGAAGGGTCGAGAGGACCACCCCCTGAAAGGGTCCAACGGAAGGTGGTTCCATTATGGCAGCAATCGGTAACACGAGGACGCCGTTTTTTTTATCTTCAGGTTCAAGCTCAACTTAATAGGTCTCATGATCGTCATCGTCATTGGTCTCGTCATCGCCTTCAACACCAAAGTCTAGCTGCGTCATCCGATTTCCCATGAACTCGCTGCACATTTGGGTATGTTTCTATACAGACATACATATATACACATACACATGAATATGTGTGTACACATACATATGTAGTAGGTATACAAACAATTAGCTTTTCGTGCAGCTGATTACTATAAAGCAAGGGGCTCGTCATCGCTTCGCCATTACATGGTCAATTTCATCGCCATGCTGAGGCCACATTGTTGCCTGCCTCTCCTTGCCCCCATCCTCGCCTCCGTGCTACGGGGTTGTGTGTTCATGGCAATGCTATGTTTATGATTTTGCTCATTCTTGCTCATGGTGCTCACGCGTGTTTTTATGTCTATGCGTGTGTATATATGCGTGTGCATCCGTAGACCGTCTCAAGCCTGGCTCAAAACACGTAGCTCAAACAAATGGGGGTGGTAGTCTTGGATACCCGGCGAGGAGATGGGGGCGTGCTTCGCAGGTTGCAAGTGCTTGCCCATACGGTGCAGGGCCCGCGATAGTGAGCGCTGCTGCTTTCGGGACACCTTCTACGACTGCCAGGAAGGGGATTCGACCAAGGACTATCCAGCTGCCTGCGGCAAGCACCGCCACCGTGCTAGCCCAGTATTCGTCGAGGCGACTGTTCGAGGCGACTGTTCTGGGGGCCATCTTGGGCCGTCTTCGAGGCATCTTGGGTCATCTTGGTGTTCTTGGTGGCCAGCATGGGCCGTCCTGGAAGTTCGGGACGCAGATCCATCGCTTTTAACGAAGGATCGTGGCCTCTGGAGCGCGGATCCATGGTTCTTTTTATGAGGGGTCGTGGCCTCGGGAGGGGGGGCGGTGCATGCGAACAGACGCGCCCAAGGTGGGCTGGGGGGGTCGTTCTTAGAACGTAGAGACCCTACCAGACACCCCTTGGCATCCTTGCACGCCCCAGCGTGCATCGAAGAAGAAAAACGCCATAAACATAAACTTCTGGCGCTCCGCACGGATTTTCTGGATCCGCGCTGGGCTCCCCCCTGGCGGCGCCTCCGGCGCCGCCCCTAGCGCGCTCTGCGCGCCAGGGAGGGGGGTCCGGTGCGTAGCGCCAAAAGTTTATGCTTTTTGCATTTTTTTCGTTCCAGTATTAAGTCGGGCACGTGCTTCTACAGCAGGAATATTCAAAAATAGTCACAAAATAGTCTGGGGACGATTTTTCTATCATTTGTTGACCATTTGGGGGCTTGTGTTGTTGTTGTTGCTGCTGTTGTTGTTGTT